AATGAGAAATTTTTTTCAAAATGCGAGAAATTCGCGAATTTTGAAATTGGTTTATAGAATGCGCGAATTTCTCGCGGTAATCATTTTTTAATGCGAGAAAAGAAAAAAATATGCGAGATTCTCGCGTTGTAGTGAAAACACTGTGTATGCTTTTATTAATTAGGAACTCAGTGTTTTCACTACAGCGCGAGAATCTCACATATTTTTGTTATATTCTCGCATTAAAAAATTATTACCGCGAGAAATTCGCGCATTGTATAAACCAATTTCAAAATTCCCGAATTTCTCGCATTTTGAAAAAAATTTCTCATTTGCGCCATTTAGAATAAAATTTGTTTCACTTTTCTTCCTCGATCTTTTATTATTTTCAACATCTGCCCCATTATATAGCTTCCCTATTTACCAGTATTGTTCAGAACCTTTAAGAACAACAGAACACCATCCTTCCGAACCACGGAACCTCTTTCAGAACGCATTTCTCTGCAACCACGTGTTTACCATAGGTAAGGTTTCTTCATGTAAGACGTTCAAATTTTTTGCTCGTTAATGTAAGATGGACAAATACCTTGTAAAGCCAATATCTTCTACTCCAAAACGGACACATGAAAATGAAATAAATGTGGGTAGAAACGATCAAAACGAAACAAATACTTATTTGAGCAACCTAATGAGAATAGCTGACGAAAAAGTAGATGTAGAACATTTTCCATATGATGATGCAGCAAAAATATTCAATGCTTTAAAAATTAGAAGATGTTAGAAATGCATTATAATTAAAGAAAAAAATTTTTTTTTCAAGTCTCTGTGCTTTTTTTTTTTTTTTTTAATTTTTGAAATCTCACTTAACTTTTTGAAATCTCACCCAGTTTCTGAGAAAGGGTGAGAAATTCTCACCCATTTTTTTTCTGAGATGAAAACACTGGAACTATGATATATTTTAACTTCAAACTGTCATGACTTTTAATAAAGTGATAAAAATTTGTATTCTAGATTTCTTTTCATTATAAATGATTTAAAACAACTCGAAACAATTTTAATTCTTCTCACATGCCATGATTAACTTAATTAAACTTCTTTATCGAGCTAAAATTTAAACTTTACTAAAATTCTGAAATATCAAAAAAAATTCAATTTCGGAAAAAAATCTATCCTAATCAAATGAAGAAAAAAAATCTATCTGTTAATTTATTATTACTAGGAAAGTTTCAGCTATTTAGCTAGCTGTAATCATTTCAAGTTAAAAATAGAATTATTAAAATTGAAATTGCTTTTTATATTTAAAATTACTAAAAAACTATAATATTTTATGTTTCACAATTGTCACTAGATAGCATCATCACTATGAGGAAGCTTTTTCTTCCCTTACCCCTCTTATGTTTGAAATAAAATTTGGTACACATAAACAATAATCCGAAGTATCTAAAAGAAGCCTTCTTTTACCTAACTCAATTATAATTGTTGTAAATAAATTCTTCAATAACTAGTTAAAATCTTTTAGTTAACCTACAAATGCTTTAAAATATAATGCTTAAAACAGAAGTTCAAAATATTATGTCTCAAATTGATATACAACAACATTAAAAAAAACTGCTAAGCTAAAACTTAAACGACACTACCTGGTCGAAATCTTCATTTCCTGCCATGATCAAATCGGAAAAATAGTATTCTTAAATTAACTATAGATAAATATTAAATAAAATGTCCTAAAATATTAAATTACGCTAGATCTTCCCAATTTGAACTTTTCTGTTTACTTTTTTTTTTACAATAAATAAACTGAACTAGATCAGTAACTTAACGGTTATAGTCAATTAGAACAAGGGCAGCAAGATGACAGCATTACCTATGGCTTGTTTTTACTGCATATGAGTTACACATATGACTTGTTCTTACTGCATATAATGATTACCGTCTATAGAGAAGATTGATTGGTGTAATTTTCACGGAAGATTATATTTCCTCGGAGCTCTTAACAATCGAAGGAACTAGGGATATAAAAATTACCTCTTTTTGACTTCACATTTCTACACAAAGGGAAATCCCGTAAACTTGCACTTCCGAACGAATTTTGTTATTTTCGATCGCAATGCTTGAATATGCCATCTGGGGAGAAGACTAGTTACATGTCTTGCCCCCCTTTCTTTCTCCTCTTTTCAGTAGTAATACGTACTACAGTATTTTCCCCTTTCTTAGTATTTTATTTAATTGACAAAAATATGTTTTAGAATTTCTACGATAATTTTTTTAGAACTATGTTCAATGCAGTTTTGAGTTCCATATAATTTCCCAACATAAAAGTTTTTAATCTATTTGAAAATCAAGACTCAAACTAAAGTACTTCCCCTACTAAGACTTTCCACACACTAATAGTGAAAGCATGCGAAGTATTGCGCATTTATAGAGATTTTTGCTCTGCGCCCCTTGATCGATAACCTATCGGATTGCGATTTATACTTTCCCTCCCAGCAATCAGATGTCATTGGCCTGAAAGTACAGTGCTCTAATTATGGCAACTCACCGAAACTAAGCTGGTTTACTGTCTTTTGCTTCAGTAAAACTTGCAGGCATATTTTTTTTTCACCTGAAGGAAAAACCTAAATTACATGAGCACTACGTTTGAACAAAAACAAAACAAAAAAAATTCCCTCCTAATTTTAATGTCACTTCGTCGTGACAGTTAAACAAGCAGTAATAACACCATTTATCATCAAGAATGCAATGATCATTGAACCAACGCCCCCGATTAAATGGTCATTGGACAAGCGACATTTAACTTTTGCACTGCAAAATGAAAAATATATACTTACTATATGACGTCAATTTACAATTTTCTTACATTTCTTTACAAATTTTGTAATATTGCTGTCCTCAGTGCTAGAATTGTTTTCAAGGAATCTTTTGCCATCTTAACTATTCACTGCGAATTCTTTTTTGTGTTTGTTGAAAAATTATAAATTAATACTTTGGGCATCAGATAGCCCATAATTTATAAAATTCAGTCACTAAATTATAAGTAGCACGCATTTTAACAGCGCAAGGCATAGAATAAAACGAATAATAATAAGAAATGTTCCAAAACAATTTGTCGATGTTTTTTTGTCACTTTCACTCCACGCGATATACTGTATTTGCCTACGCTAATGCATAACTAATGGTGGAGCTTTACAATTTAAAACATGTTGTGTGCTAACGTGTATTATTTATATTTATGTCGATTGTTTATTTATGTATTACTTGCTCTCGTGCGAAAGAATAATCTGTGATACAACCTTACATTATGTTGTAATATTGTCATTGCGTTAGTAAAAACAAACGAATGTTTTTAATTTTCTTATTTCTGAAAACTTTTACATATTGCACAATATTCAACATTTAAAAAAATATTTACATTGAAATAACGTTAATTTCTTATGAAGGTCAAATTGACCCCAAATGTTCAAAGTCCTGTTATTTTAATGTAAATAGAATAAAGCAATTCTGCAATAAAAAAAAGAAAAAATATAGCTAAAAATTTTCCTTTTTGTTTACATATATTCTACGGAAGATCATGGTCGGGATAGCCTGGTTGGTAGGACGTTGTGCTGATGTTCGTGAAAACGTGAGTTCGAATCCCATCAGTTTGAATTCCCGTGTATTAAATGGTGACTGGTGAATGTTAAATCTGCAGAGTTCATAAAGTCCTCCAAGTTCCAATAGCAAAGCATTACCTCTGATGGTCTGAATAGGAGATTAATCGTTCTCTCGTTAAGGTCAAAATTACGATTTGTGGATTAATGAATGAAGTATGTTTGAGTCCTCCCTGTCAAAAGGGGTGTGACGTGTGTGTGTGTGCAGTCGTATTCTTGGCCATAGATGGGTGCCATTGAAAAAAAACTCACCATATTGCCTAAAAAAATGCTGGTATTACTTTGTCGCGTATGTAACAACAACAACAACGAGAGATCATTCTGGGTTTCAAACCCACTCTTTGGGATCAGAAGTTTTGCTCTTACCATGAGATCGTATTCCTGGATTATTTCTCTGGGTTTGCATGGGCGTACGAACGACTCCATTATGTCTCATTTTATGTGGCCCTAATTCGTCTATATTTTTCAAGCTTGAAGTGGTATTGAGGTACTTTATAACTAAATATCTGATATATATATATACAGTGGCGCTCAAGTACTTAAGGACTGTGTTTTCAAAATAAATGCGTCATTATATTGGATGAATATTATGTTTCGATCAAGATATCTACAATGACGAATTCTACCTTAGTTGAACTTCAATCCTCAATCGTGTTCACAAGTGTTTCATAAAAGTTTATTTAAAAAATATAGTATTTTGTTAAGTTTCTTATACTTAAGGACAGTTTGTCTAATCATGAGTTATTGAATGATTACAATCAATTTATCGATCAATGTATGTGTAATTTACTACATTATCTTTGCTTGATGCTTTAAAACATTATATTAATATTTTTCTTCTTTTTTTAGTACAAATTTCAACATTATAATGAGTAATGGAAAAAATGTTAGCAATGAACAGAGATGTCAAATAGATACTCTGAGAAAAGAAGGTTTAAGAATTAGAGAAATTGGTAGGCGGTTGAAATTATCAAAAACAGCAGTTTTCCAAGCATTGAAATATATTCAAGTGACTAAAAGTATTGAAAATCATCCCGAAAACCATGTCCTCGTAAAACTACCGAACGAGAAGATCGAAATATTCATCGAATTTCTGAAGCTGATCGTCACAAAACCGCCCCGGACATCAGAAAAGAATTCGACAAATTAACAGGCAAGCACGTAAGCAATAATACCATCAAACGGCGTTTAAATGAGTTTCGGCTTATGGGTCAGGTATGTAGGAAAAAACCGTTGATGTCAAAGAAGAATATAGCAGCTCGATTAACTTTTGCAAAAAGACACCGAAACTGGACATTGGTTGACTAGAATCGAGTTATATTTACAGACGAATCGAAGTTCAACAGAATGGGCGCAGATGGCAAAAGTTTTGTGAGGCTTCGAGTCGGTGAAGAATTTAATGTACGGTGTACAAAATCAACTGTAAAAGGTGGAGGCGGCTCGGTGATGGTGTGGGGTGCCATGACATGTTCACGATGTGGTCCAATTCTCAAAATCGGAGGCATCATGGATCAGCATGTGTACGTGGACATTATCAAGACTGTTTTTCAGCCTTATTGCAGAAAACTTCGCTCAAAAAAACCAATCATGCAAGCCGATAATGATCCAAAGCACACGAGCAAAACTGCGAAGGCCTTCTTGTCAAGCAAGAAAATTGAGGTTTTGCAGTGGCCTTCCCAATCACCAGATCTCAACCCGATCGAGATGCTGTGGATAGATGTGGATAAATATGTGAAACAGCAAAAACCAAAAAATTTAGGTGATTTATGGAAATGTGTCCAAGAAGGCTGGGCAGCTA